TAAAATATCACCCAGCTTCCCTAAAACTCTGTTCCGACCGAGGCTTCCCCAAAGAGCACGAAGCAGATTCCTGGTCCCGACAAAACCCCTTTTATTAAACAACTGTGAATTCCTCTCATTCACATTCATCCAAGGCCTGGCAAACAGACTTTCAAAGGTGAATTTATGACCACAGACCTTATCTAGTTTGGAAAGCTGCCATGTAAATATTTTCCAAACGCAGTGCTGTGCATGGAAAGACTTGGCACAGAGTCTCTGAGATTCATGGACAGATCTTCACACTCCTGAAATGAACTAACAAATGACCAAACAAACTGTTTCCTGCAAAAGCCCACTCCCCTTTTGCTCCTCTTTTAGTTCCTATGGGAGGGGCTAATCACCTGTGGCTTTACTCCCAAGCCAACACCGACCCTGATTTCTTAGTTGTTTCTTCTGGCAGTTCTGTGCATGTGTACACTGGGAACAGGCTCCAGCTGTTCCTCTGCCTCACTGCTGTCCAGTTCTGAAGGCAGTTGAGAACTGCCAGATGGTGACGCAGAGCCCTGGTCCAAGCCTTCCCTAGCCTCCAGGACTGGCCCATGTTCCTCCCCAACCTCCTCACTGTCCGACTCTGCTGCCAGCTCTGCTGGCCACTGGCGGGCCACAACAAAATCAACCCAGCAGGAAAATAAAAACCCAGGTGAAAACCCAGGCTGTTCCGATAGGTTACAACAGAAATGGAGCTCTCAAAAGACAACCTATCACAGCCAGAAGGAAAAAGAAAATATTCTTACCGGTGAGGCTTGCTTTGAGGCTTCATTGGCTTGGAGGTACCGTTTGGCAAAGAAGGCACTGGGAAAGGGTTCGGGACATCATCTGCAGAGCCCTGGAAAGATGGAGAGGAAGAATGTGAAATACCTGTAACTCAGTTCACAACAGAACATTTGCATTCTTCAACGAGCATGCATTTTTATTTCTCCCAGCATTACTAATTGTAATATACGATGCATATAATGTGTGGCGTGATAGCAGTCTTCCAGTAGTTGAGGGGCTGCCACAGAAAAAAACGAGGTCAATTTATTCTCAAAGCACCTGAGAGCAGGACAAGGAGCAATGGGTGGAAGATCATTAAGAAGAAATCTAACTTAGAACTAAGGAGAAATTTCCTGACAGTGAGAACAATGTGGGTGCTCCATCACTGGAGGTTTTCAACAATACACTGGACAACCAGGAATGGTATAGAGCCTCCTGCTTGAGCAGAAGGGTGGACTAGAAGACCTCCAAGGTCCCTTTCCAACCCTATGATTCTATATTTTAATTTGATCTCTTCTTTTTATAACCACGAGGACGCTTGTTTTTTTTTTTTACAAATGCCCCAAACAGCAAACAACTTTGCATCCATCAGTGTTAAGAGAATCACAATATCCCAACATAATCTCAATTTCTGAATGAACTGCACATGGGGTTGTTTTAATTTGGGAGGAAACGATGAGCCACTTAACAGCGTTCTGAAAGACCCTGCTTTAGAGACTAAGGCAGACAAATTTCCGCAGCAAAGAAATATATTATCTTCACAGTCGCAATCGAACGACAAAGTTACACAAATTCAAAAGCTGAGAAGCAATCTCATCAACGGATAGCTCGGGGTTATTTTATTCTGTACATTGGACTTTGTTTTCTTGACTGTAAGAAAAGTTATAAAAAAAAAGAAGGGGAAGGCAGCGAATGAGGTGGCTGGATGGAGTCACCGAAGCAGTTGGCGCGGCTGAAATAGACTCCAGAGGATGGCAGAGGACAGGAAGGCCTAGAAGAACATTGTCCAGGGGGTCGCGATGGGTCAGACACGACTTCGCAACTAACAACAACAAATCTCATTAGAAAGTCAAATTGTAGTTTTTGATGGAAGCCACACCATAATTAGAAAAAAACCAAAACCCTGTATAGGCAACCAAAATTACATATACGATAGTTAAGCACATTTCATCCTATGCTTAAAAACAAGATGCCTCTGATAACTATTTTATCTCTTGTCTTGAGGCATCAACGTTAAAAGTTCTCATTCAGCTCTCATGCCCCAAACCCATTGACAAACTTAAAGATGATTTTATACAATCATTCGTAAAAGCCACCTAGCCTGCTGGCCATCAAGGTATCTGAATTCTGAATAATGCAACAAGCAGGTATGTTACAATATCTCTACTTCTCTCTATATTTAGAGAGAAGTTTAAGCATTCCCCCATTTTCCCATCTAAATTTCTAGCTGGGATATCCACTATGGAGAATATACCTGCAGCAGCTCATATATAGATACATTTTGATCCAAACAACTGTGATATGTAAGACTCCTTAGGGGGAAGGAATCGCCTTCACTATAGAGGCGGTCCTCGACTTATGACCATAATTGAGCCCCAAATTTTTACTGCTAAGTGAGACAGTTAAGTGAGTTTTGCCCCGTTTTCTTGCCACCGTTCTTAAGTGAATCGCTGCAGGCTGTTAAATGAATCCAGTTTCCCCATTGACTTTACTAGTCATAAGGTCACAAAGGTTGATCACATGACCATGGAACACTACAACCGTCATAAATAAGAGCCAGTTGCCAAGCGTCTGAATTTTTTCTGCAATTGTTGTAAGAATGAAAAACCACCGGAGTTTTCAATGCTGTTGTCACTAAGCAAACTGTCGTTAAGTCGAGGACTAGCTGCATGGTGATATCCGCAGCTTTTAGAACTGTTGCTCTGAATATCTATGGGGGTTCTCAATCATCCAGGTCATGCTTGTCCCAACGGTGCTTTTCCCCCCCTTCTTTCAAAAGGCAACTGGATTTTGTTTTTCCTTGAAGATGTTTTCGCTTCTCCTCCAAGACGCTTCTTCAGGTTCTGACCGTCAGAACTGAAGACGCTTCTGGAATAAGAAGTGAAACGCCTTCAAGGAAAAACCAAGCCCAGTTGCCTTTTGAAAGAAGAAAGCCAAAAGCACGTTGGAGTGCTCTTCTGAACAACCCAAGTTCCAAGAATGATGTGCCCCTCAACAGAAATGGTTCACACCTACTTTGTCACTTTTGGAGTTTTCCAAAGGTTTTCCCTCCAATTTCCTGTGCTTGGAGGATGAAGATTCCTTGTGGCTCTCTTTGCTCTTGGCAGTGCTGACCGTGGGACCGGGAACTTGATAGCAGGCATCGTTTTCAGTCTTTGGCCTCTTTTGAGCTGTCTTAGGCGGCTTCTGAGCAGGCTGCATGGGAGACAGTGGTGGTGGCATCGGCAGTGGCATCTCTCTCCTTTGCGTCTCTGTTGCCGAGAGCTTGGACATCCTAGGGAAAGGAATACCAGGTCAGGGTGAATTCGAAGGAATATTACTTTAAAACTGTAGCATGGAATAAAAATTAAGCGCACAACACCCGAGTTCACTGGATAAAAGATACTGAAACATGCAGATAACTAATCAACATTTTCATCTTGAGCCACAAAGGGAGGGAAAAGTCAGGGACTTTTGGCAGATTCATTAACATGCTGATAATATTCGTAAGCAATAGTAAAAATGCATAGAAAGGCACTTCTTGGATCTGAACCAAAGCTAAGTATATTGACAAGCTATAGGTTTCTTAAAAAGTTGGGTGTGGCAAAGATGGGTTCCAGCTGTTGGGATTCAAAGAACTTTCCAATTGTTTAGAATTCAGACATTCACTTTTGAGTAAAATGTAAAATAGATGTGCGATAAATGTACTACTAGTTTACATTTGGGATTAACCACTAGTAATTTTCAGTTCCAATTAAATGATACCAATTCGTTTCAAAACACTTTATTATCAGCTTTTCTAAGCTCATCAGAAATTGCTACTTAACTGCATTCACATTTTAAAAAGAGTGTTGCTGGTGTTCACAAGAGAAAATACATGCCATTAACATGCCTATGTATGCACAGATATTAGAATAAAATGTTTATCCATGCAAGTGCATTGATTAAAAAAAATCTTGCACAAAGTATCCATTCTAAATTATATTGTCAAGGGACACCAGAGTATTTGCAATGGAACCCAGATTATTTTTTTCGACATTTCTATTTTGCCTCTATTAAAAAGAACACAAGACAATATAAGAACTCTCTACACACAACACACACATAAACTTTGCCTTACCTCCTAGGGAGCTAAAATTGAGCTGAGGCACATTGAGATAATTTGAAAGTAAGTCTCTCGACTCTGACAATTTCCCCAGCCTTAATGAAGAAGACTGAATCTCTATTAGAGCTATCGCATTTAACATGGATTCTATTTTGTTTTGCACACTTAAGTGTGCAAACCTAAGCAAGTTGCCTTCAGACATTCCTCATGTTGCAGGACATAGGTAGGACAAAAAGCTAGTCAAACTCACCCTTTTAAGTCTAGCTTGTCATTTGAAAGGATTATTTATCACCATAAGATATTCCAAATAGCAATAGCACTTAGACTTATATACCACTTTACAGCCCTCTCTAAGTAGTTTACAGAATCAGCCTATTGCCCCCCAACAATCTGGG